AGCTCAACCACTGAGCCATGGCGGCCGGGCTTAAAATTTTTTAAATGTAAATCTGCCAGAGAGCCCACAACACTTAATCACTACCGACAACCACTTCAAAACTGTCATGGACGCCCTAGACGGTTTGGCTCAGTAGAGAGAGTGTCGGCCTGCGGACCAAAGGGTCCCGGGTTCGATTCCAGTCAAGGGCATGTACCTTGGTTGCTGGCTCTTCTCAGGTCCAGGCTCTGGTTGGGGGTGTGCAGGAGGCAACCAATGGATGTGTTTCTCTCACATCAATGTTTCTCTGTCTTTCCCATGGATCAGTTGCCTCCTATACACACCCTACTGGGGATCGAGCCCGCAATCAAGGCACAAGCCCTTGACCAGAACTGAACTCTAGTTAACTAGCACCAGAAACCATGATACTGACCATCACTCAATATTGACTAAATAATTAAACTTAGAAGAAACACATTTTTCTATACATTCAATATATCTAAAAGGACAATAGTAAAAAAAATTTTTAAATATCTTCTTATTGATTTTAGAGAGGAAGGGAGAGGCAGAGATAGAAACATCAATAAAGAGGCCGAAGCCGGTTTGGCTCAGTGGATGGAGCGTCGGCCTGCGGACTGAAAGGTGCCAGGTTCGATTCCGGTCAAGGGCATGTATCTGGGTTGCGGGCACATCCCCAGTCGGAGGTGTGCAGGAGGCAGCTGATCGATGTTTCTCTCATCAATGTTTCTAACTCTCCATCCCTTTCCCTTCCTCTCTGTAAAAAATCAATAAAACATAGGGGACCAAGCCCCCCAACCCAGGCATGTGCCCTGACCGGGAATTGAACTGGGACCTCCTGGTTGATAGGTCGAAGCTCAACCACTGAGCCATGGCAGCCAGGCTTAAAATTTTTTAAATGTAAATCTGCCAGAGAGCCCACAACACTTAATCACTACCGACAACCACTTCAAAACTGTCATGGACGCCCTAGACGGTTTGGCTCAGTAGAGAGAGTGTCGGCCTGCGGACCAAAGGGTCCCGGGTTCGATTCCAGTCAAGGGCATGTACCTCTCATGCACCCAGAGGATACAGCTAGATCCCCGTCAGGGCACATGCCCGGGTTGTGGGCTCGATCCCTGGTTGGGGGTGTGCAGGAGGCAACCAATGGATGTGTTTCTCTCACATCAATGTTTCTCTGTCTTTCCCATGGATCAGTTGCCTCCTATACACACCCTACTGGGGATCGAGCCCGCAATCAAGGCACAAGCCCTTGACCAGAACTGAACTGAGGACCCTTCAGTCCACAGGTTGATGCTCTATCACTGAGCCAAACTGACGAGGGTGCCTATACATAAGTTCTATCATTTGTCATATTGGGAGAAAAACAGAATTTTTTTGTGTGTACATTTCTGGAGGTTACCCTTTCACAACAGGCAGAATAAAAACTAAATTCTCTTAATTCTTATGAAAATTACATATCTGCAGTATAAATAACAACATACCTCTTGGCAAATCTTTAGAAAATGCTTTGGCATAATATACAGTCTGCTCTCTGGAAGTATAGGCATTGAGATGAGCACCCATGTTTTCAATTTCAAGTTCCAGATCTAACTGGGATCTCTTTTTGGTGCCCTGAAATAAAAGAGGGGGGGATTATGATACTTGCTTTTACCCCCATCTGTTCTAAACACTTCAGACAATGAGTATGAGGACATAAGTCTATGTCAGTTTCAGGCAAGGAGCAAAGTTGGTTTCTAAAGTACATTAGGCTTCAGAAATTGTGGTATATTTTCAGATGGCCCTTACATCCCAAGAGAAAATTCTGTTTCAATTCTACAGAGCAAATATAAGTAATTACTTCAGATAATTATTCTGGAAAAAAAGAAAAGATTTTAAAAATAAAACATGCCACACTGTTGAAGCTTTTCATGCCTGAGAATGAAATCTTGTGCTCTCTTAAAACAATGCGTTATTAAATATGTCAGACAACTTGCCTTGAAAGCCATATGCTCCAGAAAGTGAGCTGTTCCATTATTCTTCTCATTTTCATACCGACTTCCAGCATCAATCCAGAGCCCGACCTTAATGTAACCAAGGCACAATTAAGTAAAGCACCATTTCCTTTCTTTGGGGAAAATGGCAGTAGGGACCGGGGAGACGGCACCTTCCTTTTTCTGACAGATGCTTTCTAGTCTTAACACTAAAGTCTTCTTGACTTGAGTGGATTGATAGTACACTGCTATGAACTATGAGATTTAAAAAGTTTGGTCATCCATATTCTGCTGTATGCTTCACGGAGGACCCAGATTCTTAGTCCAACTTGTACTACAGCCATTAACAACTATAACATAAAGAGTATCAGGTATCGTCAAATATAAGTTCAAGTTCTGCTTCTGTAATGTATTAGCTGTGGGACCTAGGACAAAACCACTCAACGTCTCTGCACCCGTTCCTCTGCTATAAAAATGATGAGTCCTATATATAAAGAACCGTTTTAAAGATCAAATAAGAAAATACAGTATATAAGAGCAGCTAGCACAGAGTAACCCAGCAAATACAATGTTCGTTACTATCAACATTACTAACCACAAACAATATAGTAACAGGCTACAAAAACCCACATGCATCCAGTATGGAAGTCGCACTGGAGCAGTGGCTCTCAACCTTCTGGCCCTTTAAATACAGTTCCTCATGTTGTGACCCAACCATAAAATTATTTCGTTGCTACTTCATAACTGTAATGTTGCTACTGTTATGAATCGTAATGTAAATATCTGATATGCAGGATGGTCTTAGGCGACCCCAGTGAAAGGGTCGTTCGGCCGCCAAAGGGGTCGCGACCCACAGGTTGAGAACCGCTGCACTGGAGGAACGACTCATAAGCGACAGACCGGCCACTGCTTCTCAAGCACCAGCCAAGGAAGAAGCTCGGATTACAACCGGCCGATCGCCGCCTCCCGGAGCCGCTTACTGTGCACGTGGACAGCCCGGAGTCCTCGGAGGCCACCCGGAGGCCGTTCTGCAAACGGGTCACCCGCGTTTCGGGGACATTGAGCACCACCTGCGCCGCCGCCCGGGTGCTTCTCGGTCTGTTTCCTCCCAGATGCGGTGGCTGGTTGGCGGGGAGACGGGGGAGGAACCAAAACACGCGTCATTCCGAGCCAATGTCGTGGATCGAAACC